TCCCTGCACAGGGCGGTGCACTGCGCCTGCGCCGGGACCATCGCGGCAGGGATCGAGGAGATCCCTGACAGCAATCCTAATAGTGGTATAGGCAGGGGCGGACTGACCATTTAGGCACTTGGGCAATGCCCGAGGGCCTGGGGTCAGTAGGGGGCCCCACGAGATGCCCCTGGTACCTTTCATAGGCTTTTTTGGGTGTAGTTTGAGTGTGGGCGAGGACACAGGGGCCCCATGATTTCCAATTACCCGGGGGCCCCATGAGTTGTCAGTCCTCCCCTGGGTATAGGGCAGCAGACACAAGAGGCTCAGATCTTGCAAAAGACCTGATGCATAACTTGGGGAGTTGTACCCAAAGTGCCAATTGCACCGTTACTCAAGAATCTACCAGGTGGGAAAGTAACAGGGATTGCATGCAGTGGGACCCAGCACTTCCTGAGTCTTGGTGGGGATAAATGAGGTTCTCACATTCATGTTTATCTTTCCTACATTTTTGGCTGACAGTTATGTGAAATCTGCAGAAGTGTGTATAGAATGTTTGGTAAAATGTCCAGAAGCATACAGTGAGGAACAGAAGTATTTGAACACTCTGTGATTTTGCAAGTTCTCCCACTTAGAAATCATGAAGGGGTCTGAAATTCACATTGTAGGTGCATTCCCACTCAGAGACAGAATTAAAAAAAAAAATTGAGGAAATCACATTGTATGATTTTTAAAGAATTTATTTGTCCTGCACTGCTGAACATAAGTATTTGAACACCTGAGAAAATCAGTGTTAATATTTGGTACAGAAGCCTTTGTTTGCAATTACAGAGGTCAAACGTTTCCTGTAGTTCTTGACCAGGTTTGCACACACTGCAACAGGGATTTTGGCCCACTCCTCCACACAGATCTTCTCTAGATCTGTCAGGTTTCGGGGCTGTCGCTGAGCAACACGGAGTTTCAGCTCCCTCCAAAGATGTTCTATTGGATTTAGGTCTGGAGAGGTAACTCCAGAACCTTGATATGCTTCTTACAGAGCCACTCCTTGGTTATCCTGGCTGTGTGCTTCGGGTCGTTGTCATGTTGGAAGACCCAGCCACGACCCATCTTCAATGTTCTGATTGAGGGAAGGAGGTTGTTGCTCAAAATCTTACAATAAATGGCCCCATTCATCCTCTCCTTAATACACTACAGTCGTCCTGTCCCCTTCACAGAAAAGCACCCCCAAAGCATGATGTTACCACCCCCATGCTTCACAGTAGGGATGATGTTCTTGGGATGCAACTCATCCTTTTTCCTCCAAACACGACGAGTGAAGTTTAGACCAAAAAGTTCTACTTTGGTCTCATCTGACCAAATGACTTTCTCCCATGCCTCCTCTGGATCATCCAGATGGTCATTGGCAAACTTCAGACGGGCCTGGACATGTGATGACTTGAGCAGGGGAACCTTCCGTGCAATGCATGATTTGAAAACATGACGGCGTAGAGTTCTACCGACAGTGACCTTTGAAACTGTGGTCCCAGCTCTCTTCATGTCATTGACCAGCTCCTCCCTTGTAGTTCTGGGCTGATTCCTCACCTTTCTTATCATCAGTGATACCCCATGAGGTGAGATCTTGCATGGAGCCCCAGCCCAAGGGAGACTGACAGTCGTCTTTTAGCCTCTTCCATTTTCTAACAATTGCTCCAACAGTTGATCTATTTTCACCAAGCTGCTTGGCAATTGCCCCGTAGCCCTTTCCAGTCCTGTGGAGGTCCACAATTTTGTCTATGGTGTCTTTTGACAGCTCTTTGGTCTTGCCCATGGTAGTAGTTGGTGTCTGACTGACTGTGGGGTGGACAGGTGTCTTTAAAGAGCTCAGACAGGTGCTACTAAGTTAGATTAATGAGTGCAGTAGAGGTGGACTTTTTAAAGGCACAGTAACAGGTCTTTGAGAGCCAGAATTCTTGCTGTTTCTTAGGTGTTCAAATATTTATGTTCAGCAGTGCAAGACAAATACATTCTTTAAAAATCATACAATGTGATTTCCTGAATTTTTTTTTTTAATTCTGTCTCTCAGAGTGGGAATGCACCTACAATGTGAATTTCAGTCCCCTCTGTGACGAGCGCGGCGTCAAACCCCAGCCCTTCTCACCAAACTCGTGACCGAAGGACTAGCCAATCTAAAAGTGCGCGGTCACGTGCGTAACAATGCCACGCCCAGCTGCACCCTGCAGAACGATTTTCCAGCTAATTGGACCACAATCTACGTACCGGCAGCCTGGGAGCGATTGTTTTTTGGTCAGGTTAATTACGCAATTAATCCTTATCATGCACACAGGGAGAGGTGCAGTTCTCCATTTTGCTTCAAACTTCTGCATTGTGGTATTTTTATTAAACTAATATGCAGTCACCAGAGGGGGAGGGGGAGGTGTAGCAGGCATTCTCACTGTGTGAAAAAGTCTTAATGTTATCCCCTCATTCCCCCTCCCTCAGGAATGCGTTCAGTGTAGCTGTTTAAACAATCCTCTTGCCAAATAAGGTAGTGAAGATACCAGTTGATTTTGTGTAGAAAAAGAAGCTGTTATGCTTTGTGTGTATTCAGAGCAGTGAGGACTGTCTGACATATAACATCTAAGAGACAGAAAGCAAAGAGAGAATCTCGCAGCAACAACGAAACCGAATGCGAGACCAGAAATCCCTTTTAAGCTCATCAGACTTGAAACTGCTTAACCCCAGGCATCTTTGTGGGCAAGTACTTATTTACCTAAACTTCTTTCTGTTATCGGTTTGCTGTGCTGTTGTGCTCTGTATATTTATATATATATTGGTTACATCTTCTTTCTGTAAATATTTCTTCTGCACCCCTTTAACCTTTTGGTAATAAATCTTACTTTCTGAAAGTGTTGAACTGTTTCTATAGCTCTTGAATGTAACTTACAAGTCCCTGCCGCCGAAGAACGCTAATATGAGTGTTTAACCCTCTGTATAACCAGTCTGTAGAGATAGCGGTATACTGTTGATTAACCAATCATCCTAGTGTATTGCTGAGTTTCCGCTTTCTCTGTATAAAAAGGAGGTGGTGGCAGTGTGAAGGATTAATTGCGTAATTAAGAAAGTAAGATTTATTACCAAAAGGTTAAAGGGGTGCAGAAGAAATATTTACAGAAAGAAGATGTAACCTATATATATATATATATATATATATATATATATATATATATATATATATATATATATATATATACAGAGCACAACAGCACAGCAAACCGATAACAGAAAGAAGTTTAGGTAAATAAGTACTTGCCCACAAAGATGCCTGGGGTTAAGCAGTTTCAACTCTGATGAGCTTAAAAGGGATTTCTGGTCTCGCACTCGGTTTCGTTGTTGCCGCGAGATTCTCCTTTGCTTTCTGTCTCTTAGATGTTATATGTCAGACGGTCCTCACTGCTCTGACTACACACAAAGCATAACAGCTTCTTTTTCTACAAAAAATCAACTGGCATCTTCACTACCTTATTTGGCAAGAGGATTGTTTAAACAGCTACACTGAACGCATTCCTGAGGGAGGGGGAATGAGGGGATAACATTGAGATTTCTTCCCACAGTGAGAATGCCTGCTACATCTCCCCCTCGCCCTCAGGTGACTGCATATTAGTTTAAGAAAAATACATGATACTGTGACGCAACGCGTCGGCCCAACGTAGTGACGCATTTTCCGGCGTGGTGGCCATCTTGGTACACCTTTGTATACCCTTCTACACCCATGCAGATTGGATCTAAAAGCGTGGGATTGGAGCCCTGAACTGTTAACACGATTTTTTATGTAAGTGCGCTTTCTATTTGCTTATGACTCTTTACAATAAACATATTACACAATGGAGGCTTGTGTTCTATGTTTTATATGAGTGATTGGCGCAGCATTTGATTCCACTTGGAGAAAGAAGCCAGTGTTGAAGTGTGGACCCCTGGGGGGAGTTTCAGATACAATGTGAGCAGTGTTTGGAGAGATACTTACCTGGAGGATCTGTGAGAGGGATCCTAATAAGCGCTTTGACTCGCAAGGGTCGAATCCTTAAGGTGAGAGGCTGATTCAGCCGGTGTTCGGATGAGTTCAACTATCAACTCACTTCTATACACAAATATCAGCATGAGTGTTTTGTGTTCACCTGAGTGTGATCATCTTTAGTTTGGACTTTATATACACGGAAATATTATTATATATCATTTTTTATGTTTAGGTGCATGTACCGAGTTCACATATATGCACGTTTTTGAGTCTTTTCACTTTATGGGGTTTATATATATGTGTTAATACACATTGGTGTTTTATGTGTTATGTATATATATATATATACACACACACATTAATAATGAGCACGTAGTAATTTTCATATGATTAGTTCACTTTATCCATTTAGGTTTTTTCACTTATATGCTTTATGTGCATGATTTCACATAAGTGGATATATACAAATATATTTTTATTTATTATTAGGTATTTTTGGTTCACATGTGTTTTAAGTGAGTAGCGCTTCATTGGTTCCATGTGTTTATGCTGAAGATCATTGGTATATGATTTAATGTGAGCAGCTTCTCGTAATTATTTAATTAATTAATTTGGAAGTTCTTCTGAGCGCAGGAGGTTCACACCATTAATATGAGTGTTTAACCCTCTGTATAACCAGTCTGTAGAGATAGCGGTATACTGTTGATTAACCAATCATCCTAGTGTATTGCTGAGTTTCCGCTTTCTCTGTATAAAAAGGAGGTGGTGGCAGTGTGAAGGATTAATTGCGTAATTAAGAAAGTAAGACTTATTACCAAAAGGTTAAAGGGGTGCAGAAGAAATATTTACAGAAAGAAGATGTAACCAATATATATATATATATATATATATATATATATATATATATATATAAATATATATATATATATATATATATATTTTGTGACAGTGTGGCAATCTGTCACCCAGGATTCTCAACAAGGCAGGTTGAGGGGCTCCAGGGTAAGTGTTTGATACGGAGGAAAGTGGCTTTTCACTTTCCTCCTTTGTTTGTAAGGTCTGTTTTGGGATCTGGAGCCTGGAGATTTCAAAGAGATCTGGGAGGGATGAAATCTCCAATCCTGGGACCAGGTTTTGGGAATGGCCAGGAGACTGATTGCACAGGTGTGTGCAGGCCTTTTCAGAGAGTCAGGATCAGAGTTCTGGGCTCCACCTCGGCAGATAGGAGTCAGGAGGGCTCCACCCCGGCAGTTAGGAGGACTCCACCCAGGCAGACGGGAGGTCTCTGCCGTGGAGTCAGGTGGGCTACACCTAGGAGAGGTGGAAGCCGGACTAGCTGTGTGCTAGTGCCATACTTTGGGAAGAGTCTGCAGGAGGCAGACTTAAAACTGCGTACAAGCCAGGAGGCTGAATACTGTTCATTTGAATTCGTGTGATGGTGGATACCCCTGCGTGGGAAACCTTTATGTTATTGAACTGACATTTAAATAAAAAGTGGGCAAACAGGCCCTTAAAAAATAAGCGAGTTGCCGTGTGCTTTGAAGAAGCTCTACCACTTGAAGCGAGGTCCCACATATGGTGGAGGATGCGGGCAGCATTGGAGATCCCAGCGATTGAAGTAAGTTCATCAGTTATATGAACTGTTTGGTGCATAAGTCTGCACTATCTGTGTATGCAGGTGAGGAGAACCTGCTAAAGAAAAAGGACTTTGCCTTAAAGAGCCAGTGTTCCATGGTGTTGCTGAACTGTTAAACACACTGCTGTGTGTGCATGACTGCAAAGATGGGGCGGTCAAAACAGAAAAAGGAGGCAATGTTTGCTGAAGCGAGAGATAGAGCCCTGTGGCTAGGGGGCTATATACCACATGTCCCAGCCAAGCCGGGAAATTTAGATGTGGGTGAATCTGCTGTGGACTGGTGCAAGTGGCACCTGGCAGCATTGAACCAACCTACAGAGGAAAGCAAGCCAACCTTCAGTACAAGGAGAGAGCTGCAGGATGTCCGTACCTGGGAGAGGGGTGTTGTCACCCCTGGCAACGCTGCTGCAGTTAAACCAGTAGCTGTTGTGAAAAATGTGAATGAGTGTGTCACGGCTTCAGAGCTGGTCCAGCAGAGAGAAGCCTATGCTATGTGCAAGGAGAGGGGCTGACCAGAGGCCAGGACCAAGAGTGAAGGCCCATAGCAACACAGAGGAGGCCAGTCGGGCTTTCTGTGTACAGGGGGCTATGTCATACAAGGATCATGGCAAGTGGCATCAAGAGGAGCCAATACAGCGAAGTTCTGCTTGGAGAGTGCAATCTCCCATGGCAACCGGAGAAAAAGTAGTGCCCGGAAGGAGGAGCTGCATTGAAGATGTGGCTCAGTGTCCCAATAAAGAGAAGTGTAGAAATATACCCTGCGTGGAATGTGGTCAGTGGGGGCATGGGATCTTTTACTGTCCCAGACTCTGGAATACCGCTGATACTGGGCAAATGTCTTCAACTGCAAGCCCAGATTCTTCTTTTAAAATGTCGGTAGTCACCTCTGGCAACAGGGAGGAAGTATCTGTTGGGCCTGCAGGGGGTGCCAGAGAGTCCTTGGAGCCTATGAGGGCGTCTGTTACTTCACCTTGGGGCAAGGGAAAAGTTGCCAAGGAAAGTGCAGTTGAGGATGCGTTTATGAGACGACGCACTCAAATGAAGATGGCGACACCTACTACTGTGGTGGTAAGACTGTGTGTGATAAAACCATGGCTGGGACTGTCAAGTTGAGAAGGACTGGTTATGAGACTGTCCATTCTGATGTAGGAGTGACCCCAGTTAGTTGGGCCACTGAATGTGCTTTTGAGAATGACGTTTCCCTGTGCAGTGCCTTGTACAGTGGGGAGTTAGGGGCTGAAGTAAAACCTGTGCATGGTTCTCAAAAAGCAAGTGATGTCACTAATATGTGCCAGTCACAGGTTGGTAGTGGGCTAGTACAGCTCACAAGGGCTACAGATGTTGTTGATGAGAAATGTACTGCTGTTGGGAAAACCCTGAGCTCTTGCAGTGCAAAAAGCTGTAAGTAAAAGATGGGTCATTTCCCATAGCAACTGGTGTTGGTAGAGACAGCACAGGTGTCCTTGGACATCTCCAGGGCTCTCCATGTATTGGAGCCGGAGGTTGCCCTGGACAACTGCGATGTCACTCTGGTGGAGCAGAGTGGAACTGCACCTTGTCTTAGGAGTGTGTTTGGTGCAGTCTAACAATACGGAAATTGTTTCAGGTGAACAGCGGGTTAATGCAGCCTGGCAAAAATGCAAATGTGTGTGTAATTCAGGAAGTATCACCAGAGCAAAGTGAGTGGATGTGATGTATTGCAACCTGCAGTGGGAAAACATGTGTTACCCAAGTCTGATATGAGCCAGTGTGTTTTGTGCAATGGATCTGCAACTAAGCCCGTCTATTCTTATGTGTCTCCTTGGGCGGATGGATCGGTGCTGAGGAGCACTGACGAATTGAGCACATATTACATCGATTGGGGATTAGTTGGGGTAAAAGGCTAATCTAAGTTGATAGATGAGGTTTTTTTATGCACAAAAAAATAAGGTGGACACTGTTTCTGCTGTGCCAGGGGGGAGGTGAGTATCTATAGAACAGCCTATAGATAAGGGCGTGCAATTACAGCGGAGAGGACTTTGTCTGTGACCCACAAAAGTGATGTTGGCATGGAGTGTCAAAATGATGTTGTCACTGGGAACATGATTGGGGGGGGCAGCTTGTGGATGGCTGAGTCTGAGGATGTTGAGAGTAAACCAGCACATGGCCAGCGCTTGGTGGAGCACCAGGCTGTGGTTATCTCCAGCGCTTGGAGGAGGTCCCTTTAAAAATTTCAACTTCTCAAGTATCAGCAGGTGAGTCTCTCTGCGTTCCCAGTGCCCCTAAATATGGTTCAGGAAGGTCTTTGGTTTAGAGTCAAGTGGTTGGGTTGTAACCAAAGTATTAAAGGAGATGATTGAACTTTGGAGAATGTACAACCAATGTATATTGAGATGTCTCTCCACAGACAGATTGTCTGGTACTTGCGAGGAGTACCTCTAGGTGGAGCACCGAATGGCTGGCTGTTGACAGATCAAAGGGAAACAAGAAAGTTGTTTGTTTAGAGTATTTGTTGATGGTGTTAAAAGTGGTATCAGGGTATGCCACTGGGTTTCCTGTAAATGTGATTTATAAGAGAGGTTTTGGAGTATTGGAAAATGAATCAAAAAGGTTTCACCTCCTAACAGCCAGGTGGAAGCATTTCTGCTGCTATGGTCCAGGATGGTGCTGGTCAGCTGTCAGTTTTAAGGGTGTTGTGTTTACTGCACCAGTGGACAAACCCCATGGAGTTGGAAGGGCCGAGCGAGCATGGACAGAGAACAGCAGAGATCCTGACCAGGGCTCAAACAGATACAGTTGTGTCCAAAAATTATTCAACCACCACAAACACTGATAAATTGATGTGTTTTGGCCAGTTTGACATTGCTTTTGATCATTCAGTCATCTTGCTTACATTTACATTAAAGGAGGCACTTGTAGGTCAGACAAATATAAACATAACATGTTATAATGAAATAACCACAAAATGTCTTTTCTGTGCGCACAGCATTATCAGTTTTATATTCAACCCCCAAGTGACATTCCATCTCTTAGTACTTAGTACAGCATCCTTTGTACAGTTATAACAGCTTTTAACCGTGAAGCATAGCTTGACACAAGTGTATCTTGCAGCGATCTACGGGTATCTTCGCCCATTCTTCATGGGCAAAGGCCTCCAGTTCAGTCACATTCTTAGGCTTGCGCACTGCACAAATTGCTTTCTTTAAGAAGTCCCACCAGAGGTTCTCAATCGGATTTAAGTCTGGTGACTGCGATGGCCACTCCAAAAATGTTCCAGGCCTTTCTCTGCAAACATGCTCTAGTGGGACTTGGAGGGTTTTTGCTTGGGATCATTGTCCTGTTGAAAGGTCCAATCGTCTCCAAGCCTCAGGTGTGTGACGGGACTGCATCACGTTTCCATCCAATATCTCCTGGTACTGAAGAGAATTCATGGTACCCTTGCACACGCTGAAGCTTCCCTGTACCTGCAGAAGCAAAACAGCCCCAAAGCATGATTGACCCTCCACCATGCTTCACAGTAGGCAAGGTGTTCTTTTCATCATCTAGGCCTTGTTCTTCTCCTCCAATACATAGCGTTGAATCCATTGGGCCCAAAACAGTTCTAATTTTGTTTCATCAGTCCACCAGAACACTATCCCACAAACTTTTGTGGTTTGTCCAACATGGCTTTTTGGCTTACTGCAGTCGACTCTTCTTATTCTCTTTGGAGACAGCCAAGGGGGTACGCCTGGGAGTTCTGGCACCTTAGGCTGGCCGGAGGCTTCATTACGCAGTGTGGTAGGTCGTCTTATTGTCTGGGCTGAAAACTTCTGTACCCACATCTGACAAATCTTTTCTCAGTTCCTCAGCGAGTCCACACGGGGCGACTTCTCTCCACTCTACGCTTAGGTAGCGCACAGCAGTCGAAAAGTCAGCATCTTCTTTCTGCCACGACCAGGGTAAGCGTTTTCTAACAGTGCCCCTTTGCCTTGAATTTGCGAATGATGGATGCTTCCTATAGGTGTCTCTTGGTATGATGTTTAACATCTTTGCAATCTTCTTATAGCCATTGCCCTTCCTGTGAAGAGAAATCACTCTTCTCTTGTCTTCCTGGACCATTCTCTTGCCTTCAACCATGTTTGTAACCACACCAGTTAAATGTCTAGAAGGAAGCTGTGTATCACAGTCATTTTAAAGCTGCACTAATTGGTGCTTTATTATGCTTGATTGCTGCTCGGTGGTCATCCACAGGTGTTTTCAAATAGCCTGATGGAAAAGCACCTGTATGAAACCTCTGTTCTTCAGAGTGGTAGTCTTTAAGGGGTTGAATAATTGTGGGGGGACAATGAAGAAACCACATAAGAACCATTTACTACTGTATTACATAAACCAATTGATGTCATTTTAGTTTTGCATTTGGGTAGTTACAACGTCCCTTGTAGGATTTGATTCTGAATACAATTCCAAATGTTACACTATAGTCCCTAAACCCCTTTACAAGAGCATTGGGGGTTGAATAATTTTGGACACAATCTGTATGCATAAAGAAATTCGGGTCATTGGGCCAAAAAGAGGTTTATGTAGCAGTTCTGATAAGACACCTGAAATACAGGAGAAATGGTATGTGAAAAACTGGCAAAATAGATCAAAAGAGAGCTCATCTGTACCGGGTTTGGCTACAGATCCAAGTGGTGTAGGAAAAGTTAAAATGGTTGGACAGCCAACTGCAGATTGCATGACACCAGGTGAAAGTGGCATTTTTGTGAGGTTCACGTGGGGTGATGGCTGCCCTATGGTGTGTGTGCCCTCTACAGACACCGTCCTAACAAATGCTGGAAAAGGTATTGAAAGGTGTAATATTGACTGGAAGTTATCTGTTCATGGTAAACTGAATGCTGTGGTAATGAGTCATGCAGGTTTGATAGCTAGAGGTACAAGAAATCAGGGGGGTGGTCCTGGTACAAATACAGTAGAAATAGTTCCCCTACAGCCTTGGGACAGGAATACTGAGAGAGGTATTAGGAAACCTTGGAACCTGAAGCAAAGGGGCAGAAAGGT